CCTCATCTCTGCCAGTACTGGGCAGTTATACTATTGGTTCAGTTTTTGCAAGGTGGTAGAAATAGATGATGGTTTATTCCAGATGTGTCTGAGTACTAATTTCATCACATTGCTGTGCTTCTCTTTCTACATATGGTTTTTGGCTCCCCCTAGCACAGCCTGCAAGCTTTGCCTGGGCAGATGTGCTGGTTTGTATCTAATGGCCTCATTCTGAAATTCTGATAAGCATCATCTATGCTATATTGTCTAGGCCTTGTAGGAACCAATTCATGCAAACATGAAAGATTCCCCTCGGGCTCTAAAGGCTTTGCTCTTGAAGTGCTCTGGGGTTTGTGTTAGACTCTTCAGGCGCTGATAAAAGCCCTTTGCATTCTCTAAGACACACCAAGGGGAATACTGTACAGTAGCTCAAATGGATGCATGCCCCGTGTGGATGCCACCTCATTTTTAGCACGGCAGCTAAGTGGAAGTGGCAGTGGGTGGTTCAGCAGATGCTCAGAGCTGAACTCTCCGAGCCTCAGTTTGAAGAGAAGAATTGAAGTAATTATCATGTATTGTTTGAGAAATGTTATGTTGCCTCTGCTCATCTTGATTTTCATGGATCAGAGCACTACATGGTGCCTTTGGGAAGGCTTACTTAAAAAAAATTCTTCAGTGCCTTGAGTTTTACTTCTGTGCATGACCTGAATTGCCCCAGTTGTACCAGCCAGCACACTGCAGTACCTATTGCATTCAAGATCTACAACTAATCAGCCCTTTATTTTGAAAGGGGCTCAGCCTAGCCTGTTAGACTATCTCAGATGATGTCTAGCATATGCCCATAGACCCAAAGCCCTCACAAAATGCAGCAGATTGATAGTGTTGTCCTCTAAAAGGTAGAAGACTCATCTTCTTCCATTGTGGCTTTCCATTTAAACTCATGTTTCCCAGCTGCTAGGCTGCTCCCCTGCGTAGAGTAAAGCTTTGCAGGGAGCCTTAAGGCCTTGCTGAGCAATAAAGCCTAGTTCTTAGGGCACTTAGGGGAGGGAAGAGTGATGGAGTGCAGTCCTCACTTCCAGGACAGTTTGTACATTTTAACCAGTGACTGGTTAGTATAAAATGACACATATTAAGATGCTCAGAGGATCTTTGTGTATCCCAAATTAGTTATTTCTTGATTAGTTGAAATCCTGGTGTGGATTTGACAGCCGCCCAGAAATAGCACCCAAACTGTCATGTCCCATTTCTCCCTCACATTTGGCTTCATTCATGGATGACTGAATTGCTCTTTCCACTTGACTCTGCAGATGCCAGCTGGGTCATTTGCAGCTCTTAGGCAGAGTCCCCAGAAGAAGCTGTAGCTATGGGAGACTTGGCTTTCTATCATGAGGTGCCGCTCAGTGGAAGCTGCAAGTACATGCAGCCTCTGCCGAAGTTTCTGCCTGAAACCGGGACAGGTCCCTTGGTGGGCAATCACTAGCTGCACTTGCTATCCAAAATACAGGAATTCAGTCTGTGGCAGGGAGTGGCTGCCCCTGTGGGGTGAAAATAACTCACCCCTTCAGGGCCCTGAGGGTGACAGAAAGATGAGGAAGAGCTATGCTTCACGGTGATAGCTGGACACTACCCACGGGAGGTTTGCAAAGCTTAGGGAAGCCCTGCTTGGGCTGAGCTGTTCCAGGCTTTGCTGCTTTGTCCCAAACACTTTCCTGCCTCAGAGAAGCTATAACTAAACCCAGAGCTACCTTTCAGATCTCACATAGGCTTAGCCTTTCTGTGACTCTGTTCATTTCTTTAAAGTTCCTTCTCCAGTCAGCTTAAGAGGCTCAGCTGCTTTCTTGTCAAGTGTCACGCTCAGGCTCCACTACAGGTATGTTAAGTTTCCTGAAGGGATGGTAGCAGGATGATCTGATATGATGGTCAGGACCAGTGATTTCCAGCCCATAAGAGCTTATCTGCTAAGTCTGACAGCACAAGTACACGACCTAGCACAAAAAAGTTTACCTCCTTCAAAAGAGAAAGCCCCACTTGTTTGGCAAACAAGAAAAAAAAAATCCTAAAATCCTAAACTCTAAAAATCTCTAAAAAAGAGTTCTGCTGGTAGTAAGTGATGGATGGTAACACGCTTTGATGAGTTTATTATTCCAGTGTGAGGTTTTCAGTTGAGAATTGCCCTGAAGAGCTGCAGTAGGTAGATTTTTCTGTGTCTTCATATACAATTGGAAAACACCCAATTCATCTTGCTTGTGCTGTTTTATTTAAACTCAGTTGGCTTAATCCCACTGCAGTCAGGTTTATTTGATGTTTCTCCATTAGCTAAATACTGCTGGATGCTCCAGCACAATATGCTTTATGGCAAGGTGTGAAAAACATGGGAGCAGGCTGCTACATTAGTGGCATTCCCTGCCATTGCCCTTTGGCTCCTGTTGAGCGTTGTTTTGCTGTGGAATAGTAACTAGGCTTCTCTGACAAGAGTCAAGGACAAGCAAGACTGAGGAAAGGGAAAACACTTTGACTTCATCATTATCCTTAAGCCCCTCAAACTGCCATTTGCTGGTTGATGGACTGATGCCCACAGATCTCCGTTCTTTTTCTGGCTCTTCCTTGCCTCACTGATTCATTCTGAAAAAGCTCCCAGAAACAAAAGGTAAACAACTCAGCATTGCTTCCACATTGTGAAGTGCTATTTCAGTTACTAGGGGATCTGCTTAGAAAAGAAAGCCAACTCTTAAAAAAGAGTATTTATTTTTCAGGCAGTCTTACCTTGTGCTGTACTGTTGTTTCAGCTAATTTTCCAAAGAATCATACTCTGGTTTTGTTTTCCTATTAATATATGGGGGGAAGTCTTTATTAAGACTTACAACTGCTTGAGAACTAAACTCACATGCACGCACACCTCACAAGGAGCCTAAACTGAGTCACTTTCTACACTGGCAATATGTTGCGTAAGTTCCTGGAGAGGAAGAAAGAGAAATGCTATACAATCTAGAGGCAATTGTGCTGCATATTTTGGCTTTGGATCAGGTTCAATGTTCAAGTAGAAAATATTGAATACAATTTTAAGAATTCAGCAGTATTCTTGTGGAAACTGTCAGACATGTCTGGTGACAAAATCAAATCAGCAAATTTCTATGAATGATTCTTAAAAGCGGGTGGAGAGGTCATCTGCTTACACACTTAGGCAACAGTTCTAGCAATGGAAACCAAGGCTCTGGATGGAGATAAAGAATTGCTAATAAAGTAATTGTGCCCAGATTAAAATTTCAAGACTGCAGATTCATATAGCTGTATCTGAGGTTAAATAGAATGCAGCACTGGTAAGAACTGAAATAAAAGTCCTTGGGGTGTATTAGGTAAAGAACAGTCTATGCTTGCAAGTAATTTTAGCAGCTAAATGGCTCTACTCATTCTCTGAAGCCTAATGATAATGTCTTCAATTTCACACATTGATTTTTAAACAATGCACATCAAAATAAAGTGAGTTCCTTAGACAAATTAGTACGGTCATAGGTTCGCAGCCTTCTTCACACCTCACTGGAAACTCCACACTGTTGGAGCAAGCTAATCCCCTTACCTTCAAGATGACTGTTGGAGTGGGGCTTAGATCATTCTGCCCGGGCCATACTCATGAAGGACCAGCTGGCCATCAGCCATAACAACTACAGTGCACCACAGCCCATCCTCGAGTAACTGTTCCAGTCGTGTTCCCCAAGAATCTCTTGAAACCTTCAAGTACTGACTTTCCAATGTCAATAACAAGCATCTTGCCAAATAATCTCCTTAGTGGGTCACAGACAAGCACCCTCACAGTTTTTACAGTAATTAGTATTAAGTATAGCTTTAGACAGGAAGAGGGTGGAGGAAGAGCAAAGGAATTTAGTATTGGCAGAGGGTGCAGTATGGACAACCCTGGAACCACTAGCCCATGTAGATTGTGGGACAGAGTCTGTGGCGTGGAGTTTCCTCCCTGCCTGTCTTGCTCCATGGGAGACAGCACTTGGAGGGAAGGAGAATGTGGGTATTATGACTACTGTACTTGCCACAGACTTCAGGCTTTAGTATACCGGTGTTGGACCACACAAGCACTATATTTACTAAAGACAGGCTCTTGAGGCACCCCGGCGGATCAGTCCCACGTGCCTCCTCCATGTCTGGTAAGGGAAACGGTAAAACGTAAAGGGAAATTTTCCTTATGTGGCCTAAGCCAGATACAGCTACTAAAATCTGTCACCTGTGTGGTCAAATGCTACAGAAGAAAGGAGCTGCCATATGCAGCAGGTCATTTCATTGTGCTGAATATGAGATGACCTTGAAAACCAATATCTGTGCTAGCAGAGCGTAACTCAAACCAGTGCCAGGATCATCTATGATGAAACACAGGCTTAGTGAGAAGCTAGTATTTTTCTGTTTGTTGCTTGCTTTCCCACATTTAGGAAATACTGTATGAGGAGAAATTAAAGGATGATGTGCTAAGATAGGAAAAGAACCCCCAGATACTGTAACTTGACTGAGCTGGTGTGTCAGCCTGAGGAATAAAAGCGAGTAGTGAGAACAGTTTCACATGCATCTCCATCTACCTAGTCAGGCTCAGCTCTTGGGCTCATCAGGGTCTGGCCAGCAACAGCCTAAATATTTTTTCCAAAATTTTTGAGCTACTTGGAAGGTGAGTGTCTTTGTCTTGGTTGAGAAGCACCAGCAGGCCTGTCCTTTCACCCATGGACTGCCTGGAGGACAGAGTGGCTGAAGCCATTGAGGGCCATGAACCACTTTCCCCAGTCTCTGCCACGATGCTGACAAGGGCTATGGCTGGCAGGGATCTCTGTGCGTGTCAAGCAGTTGTGTTGTCATCTGCATTTATAGCTGTTCCGGACTGCGGGAGATGCTCCCTACGTTTCAAACAGCTCTCTTCTGAGCAACAGGGAATTCACCCTGTTGAGGTGGTGGTGCAGATGGGGATGACGTTGCCACCATGCACGTGTTTTGGTACTATTAACCATGTTCCTTTTTGGTTTGCTCCACAGATACTATGTGGGAAAGAGATCCCCCGCTGGGTGAACCGCCTGGCCTACTTCAGCTCGTGCATCCCCTTCCTCCAGAGCTGCCTCCCCAAGGAGTGGCTGACCCCAGCAGCCCTGCAGAGCCACATCAGCCTTGGCCTCCACAAGGAGGAGCAAGGGGACACAACGGATGAGGAGGCCCCCTCCACCTCCACAGCCCCCTCAGCCTCAGGCACATCGCGAACCTGTAGACATACCCGGGTCTAAACTGTGCCCAGTACCCCCTCAAACAACATCCCCCTCTCTCTTGTACTATTTCTTTCTTGCACCCTTTAGCACATTTTGGTTTCTCTCTTCTTTTCTATGGACAATAGAGGGGAGGGAAGACCCTATCTACTAAGGAGGTGAAGCTTCAGTCCCTGTTCCGAGGACTGCCACTACAGTTGCTCGGCAAAATGACTGTGAACCCTAACGCTGAACTGAGGAGTGTGATGACTAAACTGGATTCTCCTCCCAGGGTCCCCATGCTCCTCAATCCATGGAGAACTGCTGGCTCTCTCGGGCATGAGAGCATGTGTAGGGGCAGGGGGGGCACTGTACTGTGATGTTCCTTCTCTGGAATTGTTTTATCTTTTTATCTCTTCCCCCACCCATTTGAGCCCGGCAGCCTCCTCTCTGTTTTGGCTGGGTTTGCCATTCCCCTGTGTCAAATCTCCTGCCCATACCCAGTGAAGGAAACAGAGCCAGAACAGAACCTTCTCATCTCTTAGACCAGCAACAAGCTCCACTCAGCCCCATCCCTTTTGTAATTATCAGGTTTCTAACTCGTGTGAAGGACAAATGAAAGGTGCTGCTGTTCTACAACCACCAGTTTTCAGTACTCAAATTTAAGAGCTCGAATGACTGTCCTGCTCTTGAAAATAATAACAAAGAACCTAGAAAATGAATGTGTTACCGTGGCTTTTCTTTGGGGTCAAAAAGAGGATGGAGCTAGTGCTTAGAGGCAGCTACTAAGTAGGTGCAGAGATGACTGTTGACCATATTGGTGCTTTTTGGCACAGATCCCTCTCAGTTCCCCTAATTCTAGGCAGTGTTCCTGGTTTCCTTTTTACCCAGATTCCCTGGGGAATCTCTCTCCTAGCTGAAATTTGTTGGCTGTCTTTTGGGGAACAGCATTCCTGATCACAAGGAGGAGGAGAGAGAATCTGTTGGGAAGGTCAGCACTTCCTTCAGCTTTTCCTCCTACACTCACAGACCTAAACTGTGGCTCCAGAGCCACCCTTCCCCAGCCTATTTTTGAGCCAACCTAAGAAGGTAAAAAATAAGTGGTGAACCCAAAGAATGTCAACTTGTTTCCTTCTCCTCCCTTTTTGGAGGTGGAGGGGGAAACTTAGGGCCACACCTGGAAAGCATGGATGACCCTTCAAATGCATGGGCCACCATGGTGCCTTCTGTTGTGTGCGCTACTTCAGTGGCATCAAAAATGGGCACAGCTGGATCACTGGCTTCTCCGGCCTTGCTCTTGACAAGAATCTGGTCCTTGGATGTATTTACACTCATTCTGACAGCTGATGAGAAAGCAGATGTGGAGGAAAGGACAAGTACACCAATTCTTCCACTCAATTACCTCACTAGGAGTTCTAGTCAGAAGGTGTAGGAGAGAATCAAAGGGGAAATCCAGGCCCCCTGCAGATCCTCTTGGCTACACAAAGGAGGATGAAAAAGGAACAGGTACAGTGTTGAGAGGGTGTTGTCGTTTTAGAAATGCTGTTCTCAACAGCTACTACCAAGTCAGAACTTCCACCCTCCATCCTGAAAGAATTACAAGCCCATAAGATGTATGGTTGTTTCATTTTATTGGTCGCAATAGCATGCTAAGTCCAACCAGCTGTTTCTTTAGCTCAGGTATACAGAAGTGTGTGCTTTCTCGGCTGAAGGTCTTGGCTATGATGTACATCATGTCTGCACAGACAGGGCTTAATGACTTGTTACATGTGCATGCTCTTAGTGAAGCAGTAAGCTTTCGGGAGGTCTATTGGATGGAAATATAACTCGCAGGATGGCCTCACTCCACCACCTCCTGATGTGATGCATGTTTGGGCAACAAAATCTTCACAACACGCCTCTCATTTTCAGCCTATGAACAAATTGCTGCAAGTTCTGTACTGAACCAATGTTATATTCCTTATTAACCTTGGCTACTAGCAGCCAATACTGCATTGTGAGCAATTCTGCAGCTCCTGGTATCCAGTCCAGCACCAATTTTTGATCACTCTGGCTTGTCCAGGGATGTTTAATAAGTTTTCCATCCTGTCCTCCATCCCGCTGCCCAAAAAACACATTACACAATGTACTGTTGCACTCTCTATTCCCCTGCAGTCATGGTCATTGCAGCCTAAACCAGCAGCACAAGCTTCATTTGTCTCAAGTTCCCAGGGTGCCTGCCAATAGCCAGCAGCACATTATGTGCAGTGAATTTTAAAATCTCTTTTTATGTCCTTTTCTGGAGGTAAGTGAGAAGAGGCTTCCCCAGAGCTTTTGTCTAGGCCAGGGAAACCGCAGTCAGAAACACCTAGTTCCTGATGTGACAAAAGCCAGTCAGCCATCACCCTCGTGTTTCTGCTCTGCACCCAAGCTCCAGATGCAGCACCATGTATACATCTAGAAGAGAATTAGGGCTCCAGGGGCATGTTTCACATGGAAAAACCTCTCACAGTATTTCACAAAGCAAAAAATGCTTAACTGGCTGTAGGGTAACCTGGACAAGAAAGCTACACTCAGCCTCCTTGGGAACATGAATATGTGCTTGAAGTATTGGGAACAACACTTGGGGTGAGCTGTCAATGTCATAAAACCCAGATGTTTGTTTATCTACTTTTATGTTTGTCCATCTGTTTATGGCATTAGGGGTCACATCAAGGAGGCATCAAACCTCTGTTGTAAATCAAAACCAGAATATGTTCCAATCTTCAAAAGCTTTTCTCCCTACCCCTCTCTGTTCAGGGTGACCAACCAATGATGACAAGAACAAAGGGACACTGTGGAAATAAAATATATATTGATGATAGCTTTACCTCTGTAATTTAACAGCATTTTAGATTATTAAATATGAAGACATTTTAAAAGTCAAATTTACTGTTCATCTCTGGCACAGCATGTTTGTTTTAGGCACTTTTCTTATCCTTCCAATTATTACAAAATTAATGTTGTTATATCATATTTGTATTGAGTCACACATTTGCTTTCTCTTGCTGTTTTAGAGCATAGCACCATGGGAAAATTTTAGATACCAACAGTTACCAATGAAAACAAGGGAGCAGCTTATGAATCTTAACAAGAGCACCCCATGGCACTGGCACAATCTCTTAACCCTCCTTCTTACTGCCAGGACTTTTGGTGCCCTTTTAAAATCTGGAATGACAGCGCACCAACTCTGCACATGGGCAGCAGCAGCTGTGGACTACCTCCACTGAGTTCTTGATGTGATTAATGGAGAAGACCAAAGGAAGTAATCACCGGTGTTTCATTTTCAAATGGTTTTAAATTACTCTTTGAGTTGAGACAGCAGGTGCCCTGTTCCACTTTGTCCCTGCGGTGCTTGCCATCAAGCAATGATTTGGGTTGTGGAAAGGCTGTGTGGTGACTCAGGAAGTATTTAAAAGAGGAGCTTTCATTCTGCCATCTCCTCTCTGCCATTGCCCCAGGCTACCAGAACATGGCAGAGCCTTTGGCAACAGTAATATGTGAAAACATTGCAGCCTGTGCCTGGTGAATACGTGCTCCTATCTTCTAACAGGTCAGCACTCCACCGTTGTGCATGTGGCTGTAGCTGAGAGGTGTCTGAGTGTGTGGCACGGCACATTTAATTACTAGTGGAAAGGAATGATTAAGAGCTCTAAATCTCAGAGTAAGACTGTCCATCAGCACTGCTGTAGCCAGCTTTGTTTTGAAAAGGCTATAAAAGTTTTGGGGCGTCCAGTGTGACTGGGATAAGGGAAAACAATGCAGGAAAAAAGACAGTATGATCATAGCAATCTTCTTTCCTTAGAAAACCAGGCTACAGAATGAAAGACATGCCTAGTTGCCAGGCCTTCACAATAGCTTTTATCAATGAGCTTTGATGGAAAGTTTGAAATGACAGAAGGTAGCCCTCAGTAAAGTTGTGTGTTCACCTACAAAAGCTCGTCAGGACCACATGTGCAGCTTAACACTGCTGAGCTGGCTTGTCTCTTGTTACAAGTAAAGGTTCAGCTGGCTCAGTTCTGGTCATCCACTGGGTAAATACTAACACAGCCTTCAGCTCTCACTGGGGACAGCAGAGGCTGCGTGTGTTTCTCTCTGGTGGTGCTCTCCATGCTTACCAGTCTTGAATGTCAATGTTTCCTGCTATTTCAGCCCTGCTTTCCCTCCCACCCTGCCAAGGTATCCCAGGCGCAAGCTGCTGAAGCTCTTAGTCTCTCCGTGACACTTGCTTTCCTGAAATGTCCCTAACCTCAGTTCTGCAGGGCTGGCTTTTCCCATGTGTGGAGGGTGGTGAAATCCCTAGCCCTGTTGAGATTCAGTGAGCTAGTCAGTCATTTGAATCAGTCATCATTAGAATGTGATTTTGCAAAGTGGCAGATTTTTGCCTTTAAGGTCCACTTTACCCAAGCCAAGTCCTTTTAACAAATATCCCACAGAAGCACAAAAGGAAGTTCAGAACACAGAAAAGTGTCAGGAATCTGAGTCAAGTCCTCTCAGTTGAAAGTTTTTCTAAGTGTTCAAGACAAAACAGATTGGTATGCTGAGGGAGGCTAGTAACTCTACATATGTGGAGTATATCTCTATTGCTGCAAGTCCTTACAAAGTAGGTATATGCAGTGCTAAATCTTCTTTAGGATCCAGGCTTGCAGAACCTAGAGCTCCTCAAGCAAGCAAAGGCAATTCTTGCCTTGCTGACAGGTGAAACAGCATTCTCTTCACTGCTGGGAATGCTGTGGCAGCTACTGATGCTCAGGTGGATTTTTCTTCATTATACAGAGCATGAGCTTTCATTTCTTACCAATCTATTCACTGCAGGCTTCTCCTCTGTCTGCTGGAATGGATTTGTCTGGGCAAACATGTTCTTCTTTCAGCTTCGAGGTTCTAGAAGAGAACTTTTCCTGAGGGACTTCCTGTGGCAAACCACCCAGCCACATGGTAGCACTGAGCTCCTCATCAGCCTCAGGGTTATCTTGGGAGTCTTCGCTGTAGTCTTTTGTTGTTGTTTTCTCATTTCTGTGGCTTCAAATGTGGCTTTACTGAAGGTGAATTCCTCTTCCCCATACACATCTAAAGGGAATTTTATCTTAGTAGGAGAAATCTGGGTCAGGCCTGGGTTACTGCAGTTTTGTGGACTCTGCTTTCATCTCACTGTTAGGGACTATGCTGTAGTGATTAACTTTGAACTTTTAGTCCTGGAATACAGACAGACTAAACTGTCACTCATGGATGTAATTACCTTACTACAATAGCACAATATACGTGTACGTTTTGTGATATTAGTGAGCGGGCATTCACAGGTACCAAAAGTAACCTGCAGCAAGAATAACAACATAATATGCAGGAGCCCTAATCAAAAAATGAGAATGCCACTGTGCTCAGTGTGGCCTAAGCACCTAACAAAAATAACACGTGTGCACAAAAAGCCTCCAGGAGAACTAATGGGTGGGGAGATTTCATTCCACATCCCATAGGCGGCAGATGAAGGGCAGCAACCTCAGAGGAGCTTCAGGCCAGGCCAGGTTTGGCAGCGGTGGAGCCTGACCGTCTTAAGCCTCGATTCCCCTCTCAGCGTACATGTGCCATCACCAGCACCCCTTGCCCTTAAATCCCAGCTGCGTATTCGTGCAGGTGACAGCGTGGCCCCAGCCCCTCTCCTTTTCTTCCCACAGATACAGTGGAAGCTACATAAAACCTCAGCAATTTAGCTACAGCTGGCATAGGACGTGTCCAACGCACGGCCCACAAACATTTCTCCTCAGGAAAGCCAGTGGAGCGGATGAAACCATTCACGGGCCAGAACACCGGTTTTGTGCGCTCAACAAATGTTAATTCAAAGAGTTTTTGTGGTGCCTGCGCACACGCCTGTGCGTACAAGCTCGAAGGACCCTGTGGCTTTACAGCCGGTAACTCGCCAACGCGCCCGCCCCGCCCAGCGAGCCTGGCCGCCCGCTTTCGCGTGGATTGCTTCCGCGGAGGATCCGCTGCGGCGGGAGGAAGGCGGGCGAGAGCCGGGCAGCCAGCCAGGGCGGAACGCGGCTGCCCCGGGCGCGGTGCCGCGGCGGAGGGGGCGGCTGCGGCCGGCGGACCGCGCCCCGCCGGAAGCGCGGGGGGCGGGCCGGGGCCCTGCGGGGCGGGCGATGGAGCGGCTGCGGAGGCTGTGGCGGGGTCACACGATGACCGTCGGGGTGCCCCTGTTGGTGAGCCCCGCGGCGGGTGCGGGGGGGGCGCTGGCCCGCGGTCCCGCCGCTGCCCGAGGGACGGGGGGGTCCGGCCTCCTGAGGGCACGGGCCAGGCCGCGGGGAGGCCCGTGGTGGTGCCGGGGTGGTGAGGGGGGACGGCGGTTTGGCTTCTGTCTCCCACGCGTGTCAGGACCTGCGGGGGAGCTGGTGTGGGCCCGGAGAGGAGGCGAAGGGAGGGCGTGAGCCCTGTGCTCCGGTTCAGTGGTGGCCTTGGGGGGCCGGGGGAAAGGGGTTTGCAGCATACTCTGAGAGGTCTTCCTGGCTGAAATGTGAGGAAGATGCATCTGGGTGGGTTTTTTTTTTGTTTGTTTGTTTGTTTGTGGTTTTTTTTTTTTTTTTCTTTCTTTCCTTTAAAGCACTGCTTATGTGTTCGTCTAACTTCCTTTAGCTTTTCAGTGGGTTTTAAACTGCAACGGCAGTGTTGGTCTGATAATTTGGTACGTTTAAATGAACTGAAAGAATTTGAGTTCAGTGAGTTGATAGGTAACTGTTGTGGTTCTGCTCAAGGGGATAGGTGAGGCGTAACTATTTAGAATAGTAGAGATCAGAAAAGATCAATAAGGTCAAAGGAATAAAAGAAATTTCTAGGATGGACAGCATAACAGATTGTGCTGGCCTATCCTAAGTCCCTGTGTGCATTAGAGGAAAAATTAAACAACTCATTTGCACTTACGGATAAAAACTCAGGAAGGAAGACAAAAGCAGTAGCCAGGACAGGGAGGTTTCTCTTTATGCAATTTGCATCTCATTTTTCATAGGTACAATTGGTTTAGAAAAAGTAATCAAATTCCTAGGTGGATAAAGAGTAGGGCAAAGGATATTTCCAACATTTTTATAATACTATGAGAGAAATTAGTGTTATCCTCCTATATCTTCAGCAGCATGCCTCAGAAAAATGGAGTGGTCCAAAGAAGGACAATGACACTTGTTAGAGTTAGAAAAGTTTAAGGCCATTTATTTTAAAGTGACAATATGGAGGTTCTAGAGTAAGGACTTTAAGTGGAAATATTAATGCAATTGAATGCACTGAAGTATCTTTTCTCAAAATATTGATGAAGTCATTTGTAAGGAATGAAAATAGATTAAAAAAAAAAAAAAGCCAACAAACTAGTGTGATAATACTGCAACTGTATGAAACATTTGTGTCAGCAAGTCCAATCCCCAATGCTGCAGACAATCTCTTCATGTAACACCTTGCATAAAGTGATCAAGCATAGTGTTGCAGCTGTTTAGATATCCTGCTGCATGCATGTATACCTAAAAGGCTGTCCAGGACTTTGCTGCTTTCGTGCTTGGAATTTATTTTGCTTTCTAATTTTTTACATAATTTTTTGAGTGCTCTGACATTATTCTTTAGTTTAATAACACTTTTCTTAGTTGTTTAAGGTTGGATATAGTTTTTGGTCACCGTCCTATAGTTTATGTAGCTGTTTTCAACCCCTCTTTCAAAATGAGGGGAACACAGGCAGTTTTGTACTCTCCTGCTCAATTTTAACTCCATAAAAGGTTTTGGGAAAATGTTACATGATTAAATTGTAGATACTTAGAGGTGGTGACCTAGAGGAGAAAAAAGTCACCATAGCTTTCCAGTAATAAATATATCAGATTATTTGATAGATTAACTGATATAGTAGGTGAGGAGATGCAACTGATACACAAGATCTTGACCTTAATAAAGCTTTTTACATTACCTTCCCTGTGAAAATTGCACATTAGAGAAAGTATGGCAACGATACACTTCTTGGTGTTCTAAAGGGATTGAAAAAATACTAAAAAATGTAGTTATCAGATGCCTTCCAAACTGAAAGGTATCTTAGATGGGGTGGGTCCTGCAGAAATAATGTGGGCTATAATATTGTGAAAAAACAGAAGTAGCACTATAAGGTGTAGAAACTTGTCAAAAATAAAGTAAAACATAGAACAGGACTCTTCCAGTCTACTCAAAGTCCTTAGCTGGAGTAATTTGTGATGCCATTGTGGAGATGATGAAGACAAACTAAAGTCTAGAGGATAGCAACATAAAAGATACAGCAGACATTCCACTGTTAAGGAATGCTTGAAGGAACCGACTTAGTTTATTTTAGAAAAGTCTCAGAAGTTCCGTACATCATATATTGAGAGTGTTATTGATTGCTTTTGCATATATGCTTTTGCATATATTGATAGCTTTTCATAGCTTGGGAAAGAAGTACCAAAATAAACGAGCTTTAGATCAGATGTTAGGAAAATATTACTCTTTGTTAAGATAGAGCTCCTAGGGTTTTTAAGGAGAGGTCGAACAACCATCTGGCAGTGATGGTGTAAATTTTCTCAGTTCTGCTTCAGTGCTGGAGGTAGGACTTCAATTTCCCAGGCCAAGATAGACCTGTGGTTGTCCTTTTGGCCCTTCAAGTGTTTTTGCATGATTTGCCATAGGTCATAGCAGACATTTTTGAGACTGATTTCTTTGACTTTGTACTACCCGATTTCCTTCCATTTCTGTTACTGCAGAACTCTTTCCTCCAGAGACAATATTATATAGAGAAATATTCTATTATATTTCTTCCCAGGGCTTCATGCCTCCCTGCCTTAAAATTGTTCTCCCCTGTGAATAGTTCAGAAAGTTTCTGTGTTGCTGCCTACAGTCTTCCCAAGGAGTAAAAAAAAAAAAAAAAAAAAAAAAAAAAGAAAAAAGTCATGCAGTTCTTGTCAGTTCCCCAGCTGTCTGTTGAACTCCGAAAGCATCTCTGAATCTGAACAGAATTCTGCTAAAAGATCAATTGCTGCAAAACAGACAGTGAATCTGTGCACAAAATCAGAAGGAACATGCCTTTGTAACCCTTCAAATTTTGCTGAATTTGTTGATAATACTGAAACCAAAGGTTTCTGTTAGATTCTCGCATTCTGTACATAATTTACTTTCACTAGACAGGTGCAGAACTTTATTCTTCAGTACTGCTGGACTTTTCATCAGTACCATCTTTGCTTTTTTTATGGGGAAAATAACCCCAAACACTTTTCATATCTTGCTTTCTTACACTGCATATTTGAATGAAAAATCCCTGTGCCACTTTTTCTAAGGGCTCCAAGGTTAAAGAGATCATAATTCAAAGACAGATGAGTGTCTTATTATACACATGCATGTACAAATATATATTGCAAATATTTCTTTTAAATTACCTTGATCCTTTGTTCTTCTGGGCTCGGGGCTGTTAGAATATTTCAGTGCAGAAGGAATTTTCTTGGTTGATCTTTAAACCTCAAACTGACAGCAGCTTTCAGAGTAAGATGTGTAAATTACAGTTTTCAGTCACACTTTCTCAGAAGATAAGTGTTTCTTTGTGAGCACCAAAAAGACTGGAGGGGGAAGGAATTAATCCTGCAGGAAACCTTGATTTGTGAATGTTTCCTTTAACTCTGTAAATTTTGCAGATAAGAGATCTCTGCATGGCGTAAAAAAGTCAGAGTGCAGGAGAGAGGGATGTAGCCTGGCATGGAATATCTTAACAGTCGCAGTGCTACAGGATGAGTAGTCCTAAAGCATTGGTAAAGATGGTCACATCTGTGCAGGTGTTGGGATGAACTCCGGTGACCTTACAGATTTTGCTGTTATGATAGAGGGCTGTGCCACCTCAGTGCTAACTTAAAACATCTCTGTCAGCGATATTGACATCTCTTGTTTCCTGTCACGGCAACGGGAACTCTATTACATAAAGCTTAACTTCTAAATCTTCAGGATACTCGGTTCTGTTATAGAAGTGCTTCAGTCACTGCTGCTTTATATGCCACAGTCAACTCTACCTGATCAAAAGAGATGCGTCTATCAATGTGCTATTGCTGCTGTGATGTTTCTGTAAGACCTTGAGGGAGCAAGGCTCTTGGGTGTTACAGCTACTGGGTCCAGTCTCATACCTTTCTTATGAGACACTGAACATGTAAGGCTACTTCTCTAGCACAGTTAGGATGTTTGCAGGTTGCTGGAAGTTACTTTTTCAGACAAGTCTAAATGGTGGTTCTAGTCATTGAGGAAACATGTTTGGATTTTAAAATTGCAAAGCACTAACAGTTTTAAAACACATTAAAAAAAATTATTTTATATGCTCACATCACTTTCCAAAACTTGTGGTTTTGGTTCTGTCTCTCTCTGATTCTAGACAAGGATCTTTCATACTCTCTAAGTTGTAAAATGAAGGTATAGATGCAGCTCCATTTCTGCTGTCTGTCACAAGGGAAGAATTAAGTTCTGAGGATCTGAAGTGGCATCTTAGCAGACAGAAAATATAGTCTGTGGCTCATTTGGTGATTTTTATTGCACACCTAAAATAAATATATTGACTATATATGTAGTTCTACAAGTTTCAAATCTGCGGTATGTTGCAACATTATCCATATCTTTAGATTTTGACTTATTTTAATTTTTCTTTTTCCCTCCTGGAATGACTCTACAAGTGCTTTGCTTCTCCTTCTGGATCTTGTCTTTGGTGTTTCACACGCTGTGCCTAGTGTTGGTAGAAGAGAAGATGAGGGTAGCTTGGAACAGCAAAATATTTTTCTGTGAATAAACATGTTTCTAAAATACATTTCCATCAGTGTTTATGCACACAGACTGTACTACAATGCCACCTACATTGCTGCCTTGAACAGTGCAAGTTTACTTTGATAAACACTTCATCAAGAGACAGCAAGAATGCATGTCATGTACAGGACAAGAAAAAAGGTCAGATTAGAGTGAGTCCCTAACAATGCTGCAGCATTGTGGTCAGTGCTTCCAGGCATCATTAGAGAAGGTCAGTGGCATCTCAGCCCTTGTTAATGAACCAGCTGTCTCTCAACCTTTTTGGCAAGCAAACCAGACCAAAACACTTTCCCCAGACATCAGGACATGAAATTACATGTCTGTGGATTAGTTTGTTCACTGGTGAAATCAGGGTCATCTAGAAGCCATGACTGATGCTCAGAAATGTTTTGTAAATATTGGG